ATTGCCCTCAACTCTCCTTCATCCAGAGTACCATGGCATCCATTCTGACCGAATCACCACCTGGAAGCTAGGAGGCTCCGCTGGGCATCTTGTCTCCTGGAGTCTGGCTGAGTTCCTGAGGGTCCTTGAGTAGTATAGGGCCCCACTGGATGTGTTTCCCAGATTTGCCAGGGAGGGTCACAGCAGCATGGGAGACTCCTCTTCTGTCGGGAGGGCCCCTTTCCCAGGGGCCTGGAAGCTCTGCCTGGGGTCTCAGTCAGAGGCAGCATGTTCCGAGGACCAAGCTTGTCTTGGGGATCCCCACGTCTTATCAGTGAGGTGGCCCTGGCCTTGGGTTTCCTCTTCCTCCCCTCTGGGCTTATGTGCTGGTCTCCCGCTCAGTGGACAGTGTTCCAGAGAAGACCTGGGTGATGGGAGGAAACCCAAGCCTGGAAGGAAGCTCATGTTAGGCCGGAGGAGGCAGGTGACTTTGGAGGACAGCCACTGGGCCGCTCTGGACTTGGACAGTGAGTGCAGATGCCAGAGGTCCTGACCGGGGTGTGTGTGTGTGTGTGGGGGGGGGGGGGGGAATGACAAGTGGCTGGGGGTGTGGCTCTGCTTAGACACTGGAATCCGCCATTATTTTTCAGACCTGTGCACACCAAAGAAGGCTTTGCTTTAGAAACAGCCTTTCCTAAAGCTCTGGGGGGACACCCCAGGTTTGTCTTCAGGGGATGGGTTATCGGGGGAGGGAGCTAGAGGCCAGGGAGATGCAGAAGGTCACAGAAGGGAGGACAGGCAGCTCTGCAGGAACACAGGACACTGGGAAATGAGAGGGAAGGAGCAAACTTGGGGCAGGAAGGGAAGCCAAGTCGAGTTACAGGAGGCCTGAGTGTGGGGGGAGCAGGCCCAGGAGATTGGGGGGATGGACTGAAGGGGCCTGGGTTTGGGACTGGAGGCGGAAGGAGAGAGGTCAGAAGGCAAGGCTGGCAGCAGAAGACTGGGGGGGAGCGGACAGATCTCAGGACCTCAACTGTACCCTCTAGTGGCTCCATGGGCTTTCGGGGGAGCCCCAGAGGCACCAAGGAAGGGCCTGGGATCTCAGCGGAGGGGCTCAGATATGAATCTTTCCACGAGGGACCTGGAGTGTGAGCCCTGAGAGGCTGGGGAGCGGGCGGCCGAGTGGGTTTGCTGCCCCTGCTGGGGGCTGGCGGGATGCTAGGAGGAGGTGTGGGGAAGGAGGCTAGGCAGGGAGTAGGGCTGGCTGCTCTAGGGGAGGACTTACAGGAAGGACTTCATGTCCAAGCCTCGGTTTCGAATCTGCCCCACCACGTGGTCCCAGCTGCCTGGGTTGGAGCGGCTGCGGCCACCGGCCGCCCGGTACTTGGAGCCGGCCGAGGCGCCCTGCCGAGCCTGGCCCCGGCCATAGGCCCGAGGGTTGGGGCCCGACGCCGAGGCCACGTGGGCCTGCAGCTGGCCCAGGCTCTGGCTGGTGGCGGGCTGGCTGGGCTGCCGGCCCCGCTGGTGCTGGCTCAGCGGCTGCTGTAGGCTCTGCTGCCGTATCAGGGTGCGGGGTCGCTGGCATTTCGGCTCTCCCGTGGAGCTGGGGATAGACTCAAGGGTAGTGGCCGTGGACAGGGTGGAGTCCTCGAAACTTGGGGCGGGTGGAGGAGAGGAGAGAAAGGAGAAGCCGGTGAAGGGACCACAGTGGAGGAGAAAGATGCCAAGGGCCAGGGCGAGGAGGCCCCCCGTGCCGGGTACGCTCAGCCGGGCCTCACCAGGCTTCCATCAAGGTTGTTGCCGCTGCTGATGCCACCACTGCTTCCCTGAGGAGGTCACCAAGCCTGCGCCCCCACCCCCAGGCCCCAGGTCGGCCCACCCCCCCACTCTCTGGTCCTGGCTCAGCTAGTCCCGAATACCTCCTGCTGGGCCGACTGCTAGGCGGGTCTGAGCAGGCCAAGTGGCTGCATGGTGAAAGTGGGGCCCTGGGGCCCTGAGGCCTTGGGGCTGCCTGTCATCTTGGAGTAGGAGGGCTGGAGAGAGCCTGCTGGCACCCCCTCTCACTGCCTTGCTGGGGGACACCAGGTACATCTGCCTCCACGCTCTTAGTGCTACTGCTCTTTAGAGACGGAAAGAAACCCAGGCCAACGCAGAGCCGGCCTAGTAATGCATGGTCGGGCCAAGGAAGCTACAACTTTTAGGCTTTGTCCAGAGAGGCGCAGAGGTAGGCTTGAGCTCACAGACCTTGGCCCTGGGGCCAGGCCAGCCTCTGGACTCAGACTCAGAGACAGATCTTTGCCCTCCTTCTAGGGGTCTTTGTCTCCACGCCCCAACATCCCCTCCTAGTACATTGAAGAGTGGCTCCCAGTCAGAGGAGGGACACTTCCTCTCTTCCTTTGATGGAGCAAAAAAAGAAATCAGATGAGGTGGGGAACCCCTGGAACCATCACGGGCAGCTCACTTCTGACAGTGAGTGTAGTGGCTGTCCTGTCCGTCACGCATTTGCAAGAGGTGCCTGTCCCACTGGCCCCCCAGCATCCCTGCTAAATGCTGGATGGGGCAAGGAGAGACGTGGTAGGACCCAGCCGACCAGAGGAGGCAGGGTCAGATAGACCCGGGTTCAAACCCAGCTCTGCTTTTCATTAACTGTGGGACTTTACAAGTTACTCTACCTGTCTGGGCTTCAGCTTTCTCATCTGAAATGGGGATCAAGTAACCCTGGAGCTGCCTGCATCATGGGGTTGCCATGAGGACCAGGAAAGCCCTGTACAGGTAAGTGCTCCCCATGCCAGTGGGGGTTGCAAATGTCTCAGGAGACGGGAGCAGAAGGAGTCTCCTCCGGCCAGAGATTTCCACGTGTCCCACAGGCAAGGCCAGAGCTGCGCTCTCACCAAAGAGCCATAAAGCCAAGCCAGAGACCAGGCTGAATGACTTTGGGGGAGTCACTTCTCTTCTCTGGGTCTTGGAGGTTCTTTCTCCCAACAATGGTCTAGGGCAGGGGTTCACAAATGATGCTGGTCAGCCAAATCTGGCTGGTTGCTTGCTTTTGTAAATAAAGTTTTATTGGAATATAGTCACTGTCATTCACTTCTATTCTGTCTATGGCTTTTGTGATACTGGGGCAGGGACTGGTAGTCATGAAAGAGACCATGCGGCTTGCGAAGCCTAAACGTTTACCGTACGACTCCTCACCCCTGGTCTCAGGCCACAGGGCAACCAAGTACCTCAATCTAAGGGAGGACGCCCCAGGGCCTCTGGGGGCCACTTTCACCACTGCAGCCAGCCCTCGGCTTTGCTCCCCCTGAGCCTGCCCTGGGAACCAAAAGACAACAGTTAGGCGGCCCCTGTGGGCTGAGGGAGAGAAAGAGAGAAAATGAGAGTGAGTGAAAGAGGGAGAGAAAGTCAGAGAATAGCAAAGAGAGACCAAAGGAAAGAGAAGGAAGCACAGTGTGGCCGTAGCTGGCGTCTTGGGAGGGTACCAGCCTTGTCCGTCTTGGGCTGGAATCAAGGCTACCACCAGGGGTGGGCCCAGGCCTGGCTGGCCAGGTAGGCCCACAACTCCCCGGGGGCAGGCTGAGGCGGAGGGAGGACAGCGCTCTGGCCGCCACCTCCTCCTCCTTGCTGACCTCATTTCGGTTTCCTATCACATCCAAAATTAGTCCAACTTACAACCTCTCAGTCACAGGAAACTAAAATTGGTTCCCTCCAGGCCTGGAGCCAGCAAATGGCACAGAGGTCTCACAGCCTGGAGACTGTGGCCAGAGTGGCCGGGAGTGGGTGGGGCACTGGGCCTGGCTCTCTGAGGAGGCTTGGGGGTTCCCTGTGGGACCCTCCTGAGGCCAGATGTCAGGGGAAATCATCTTAGACTCCCTCAGGCCAACAAGCAAATGACCGTGGCCTTCAGTGGTCCCAACAGTAGGACTCAGAGACCTTCTGAAGAGCACTGGGAGGCCCTACATTGAGACAACAACTAAGAAGGGGTCAGGTGGCCTTATACAGGGGAGGCTGTTCCACTAGGTGGGAGTGAAGGAATTCCAACAGCTAAAAACAAAGACCTAGTGAGCATGGTCACAGGTCAAAGAACTTAGGGCCTGGGGGTATGGGGCTCCGTGTGGGCAGCTGGGAGGTTCTAAAAGCCAAGATGATAATAAGGCTGCCTCACTGATTCGGGGCAACACACCATCTGCAGAGAACAGGGCCAACCCTATGCCCATGGCCCACGAGTAGGACTGAATGTCTGTTTGACAATCTCAGACAGCTGTTAGAAAAGGGGACAGCTCTTCTGCGTGACATCCAGACCACCTCCTGCCATCTGAGAAGAGAAGCTAGATGGGACTAAACAACCCAACCTCCAAGAATACATCCTCCCAACAGCTGACAGGAGGACAGCTTGCTGGCCAAGGTGGGGACAGCCGGAGGGAATGGCTGAGATGAGGATGAACCAATGGAGACAGCCCGGCAGCTGAGGTGTTATGGTATAAGCAAGACTGGGATAAGCCAATGGAGTCACCTATGGTCAAAGATGAACTGGGTCAACCTCTGGGTCTAGAGCCATCTGCTGGCCTTAAGAGGAAAGGCCTGGTGGCTGGTGAGTGGTATAGGGCACAGGCTGAGAGAGGGCCAGGCCAGCTCTCCAAGGATGAGATGGTCCAACAGCTGCGCAACCACAGGTCTGCTGCCCATGGAATGATGGCCTGACAGCTCGATGGCCCATCAAAGAGAATGGGATGACCCAAGGACTGCAATGAGGCTGCCCGGTGGGCATATGGCATGACCTGGTCACTGGCAAAGAGACTGCTGGGGCAGCAGCCAGAGGCTGGAATGTGACAGATCGCATGGCTGAGCCGGTCGGGCCCGATGGCAAGGACGATGGAAGACTCGCGTGAAGGGATGGGATGAGCCAGGGGCCACGAGTGGCACCTCTGGGGGCAGCAGCTGGCATGCCAGGGGTCCCGCTGTCCACCTTGGCAGGGGCGGGCCTGAGCTCGTGGCTCCGGCGGCCATGGGGTGCCATCACTCACTTGGACAAGTTGAGCTTCCCTGCGGCCAGGTGGCTCTGCACCGTCCGCCAGCGGCCTCTCCCCGCCTTGCCACTGCTGCCCGGCCCGCTGGGGGCAGCCCCGCCGCTTCTCAAGGCGTCCTCTCCAGGTGGCGGCACCGGCGCTGGCTTCTCCCCCAGCCGGCCTTCCCGCTCCACCGCCAGCCCCGCCGCAGCGGCCACTTTGGCGCCCGACAGGAGGGTGCCACTGGGGGCCCGCACAGAGAGGCAGCCGGGCCAGAGGGGCACCGGGGGTGGCGGTGGGGGAGAGAGGGCGGGCCACACGTGGGGGGTGGAGGGGGGTGGAAGAGAAGGAAAAACAAATGACAGATAAAAGGAAGAAAGAGATATGAGAGAGGAGGAGAGAGACAGACGGACAAGAGACAGACAGAGAGAGAGAGAGAGACATCAGCACTGCTAATGGGTTCAAAGCGGAACCTGCAGAGAGGAGAGAGGGGGACCGGGCGGGCTGGGGGTCGGAGAAGAACGCACCACGACAACGGAGGGGGGCCCCTCCCCACCGCCTGGGGCAGGGGCAGGGCAGCCACCTCCAACTCTATCCCACAGGACAACGAAGGGTTAACGACGGAGGAAGAGCGGGCTGTCCAGGCCAGGAGGCCCCCAGGCAGGGAGAGAGAGAAAGCCATATTAGTCAGAGTTCATCACCACCACCACCACCATCACCGCCACCACCGCCACGAACCACCGACCACCGACCACCAACCACCGAGCAGCCACGGCAGCAGCACACAGCGGGGAGGAGAGAGCGAGCCACAACCGGGGGGAGGGACCAAAAACGGGCAACCCCATCCTGACTGCAGAGGGGCGGGGCCGAAGGGCCGGCAGGGGGCGTGGCTCGGAGGGGGCTCCTGCGTGGCTGGCCCTGGGGGCGGGGACAGGAGCGGGCTGGGCAGGCGAGGGGGCGCGGCAGGGGCAGGAGGGGTTGCTCGTCTCCATGGTCAGCCTGCCCATGGGGGGAGGGTGGGGGTGGGGACAGAGGAGCGGGAGGAGTGAGGGGCCGGAAGAGGGGCGGGGAGAGGGAGGGCGTGCGCGGAAACTCGGTACATATGATTAAACCAGGTAAAGTCACTCACTTGAGGGACAGTCGTGGGTCGCCATAAGGGGCGTAGGGTGAAATGTTTAGAATAAACTCCTTGGGAGGGTAGGAGCTCCATTTCTGCTGCACTGTGCTCTCATTGTTATTCCAAAAGTCTCTGTCTAGATCACTGGAGGGGCAGAGAGAGAGGGGAGAAAACAGGGAGATACAAGAAGAAACAAGAAAACTGAAGTCCGGTGGGGCGGAGGGGACGTGGGGCCCAGGGGCCGGGGCACGCAGAGGGCGGGCGCGCGGGCGCGCAAGGGTCTGCGCCTGCGGGAGGAAGAAAGACCGGGGGCACCGCAGCCTGCGTCCCGCACACGCACACGCACGCAGGCACACACACACGCTCGTGGGCAGGGGAGAAGCCGCACAGAACGGAGGCGAGCTGCAGGCGTGCAGACCGGAGCCTCGCACCTCGGAGCTGGCGGGGGAGAGAGAGAGATGGTGAGAGAGAGGCTAGTGGGGCCAGGGTGCTGGGGACGAGGCCCCAGGGTGAGGTGGAGTGGGAGTGGGGGGCGAGGTGCTGGTTTCTGGCTAGAAAGAGCAGAAAGGTAGAGCGGATTATGCTGCCAGCTTCCTGCCCCTTCTGCTCTCAGTTTCCCACCTTGTCAAACTAGAAGGTTCCCTCTGAATGCTAAGCCAGTCAGTGGTCCCACTGGGTCCCACTGGCGGGCAGAGGCCATAGTTCTGAAACGCTCAAGACTGTCCCCTCCCCCATTTCCCCACGGACTAAGGAGAAACCCAGGTGAGGGAGTGGGACCTCAGCTGAGCTGAAGCCACTCTCTACTTATTCCATACCTGCTGGCTAGGTCCCCAGCCCTCTGCTTGCAGGAGGGACTGTGCCTGGAAAGGCCTCAGGCTCACCAGGGGTCCCTCAGTCCTTTACTCTGTGGGGAGTGCCTGCCCTTCTCTGGATGCGGACAATGGGGCCCTTGGCTTCAAGACAGACCTGCCAACCGTCAGCTTGCTGGGTGCCTCCCTCTCCTCTCCGCATGTACCTGATCTGGGGACACTGGAGACAGCTCCTCTCTGTGCCCTCGGCTCCCCACCCCCTCTTGCTCCATGACATGTGCTGAAGAAACTTATGCTCAGATGTGGGGGCTTTCATATGGGGAGGGGTGCAGAAGCCTCGGCTGGCCTGGAAACTCAGAGAGCTTCCCCAGCCAGAGAAGGGCAGGGCAAGGGCTCCATCAGCTTTCAGGCTCCTGGGGCTCCAAGGAGTAGGCCTGGGAGAACAGGGAGGGGAACTAAAGGGGCAGTCCCTAGGCCACACGGCCATCCAGAAAGGAGTCATGCCTGGTCTACCAGGAATGCTTCTAGGGGAGAGGCTCCAGTGGGGAGGGCTGGGATGGGCCTAGGGGTGTACCAGGCAACACCACTGCTCAAGGTCAAGGTGAGGGTACCATGGGAGGCATACCCTCTGAGGATCAAGCACACATGGTCTTGTGGGGGGCTGGCCTCTCTGCCCTGAGAATTTGACTTTTCTCTTGGTTCTTAACCTTAGACTCAGAAGCAAAGGAGAGAAGGAAGAAGAGAAGCTGAGCTGTCAGCACAGGCTCAGAGGAGACTTTGGCTGAGGCTCGAGTCTCTGTCTGTCTGGAGTGCGCCTTGGAAATGTCTCACAGGGGACTCTGGGCACAAGGTTCAAATGCAAGCCCCTGAGACAGCTCATAGGGTGAGTAGGGACCAGGGGTGGGGGAGACAGGCCAGGCCCTCAGGAGCGGGAGCCTCTCCCTGGGGAGGCCTCAGAGGAATCTGCTCCCTCAACAGAAGACCCCGTTTCCACCAGAGACGCCCTTTGTCCCCAAAGCACGGCATCAGACAAAGGGTATGGGTGGGCCCTCCAAGTCAGGTGTCCCAGATATGGAGCAGCTAGAAAGCCTCCCTCCCAGACCTCCTGAATCGAGGGCCATCCCACCCTAGACCCGGAGAGCAAGATCCTTCTGGTATCATTGCTAGGCTATGTCCCACCCGATATTCCGAGGAGGTCAGTGTCCCTCAGGCTATCCCTGCCAGTACTGGAAAAAGAGGACTTTTAAGTCCAGGAAACCCCACTTCCTTCACTGCAGGTCTTCTCAGAGCCTTTAACGTGCCAGTGACGATTCTATATCTCCAAGAGGGAGATAGCGTGTGCAGTGTTTCCCAAGGGTTGGCCATGGAACCCTTGATTGACAGGATACCTATTAATTGTGGGTACAAGTGCTCTGAGGGGCAGAGTTTGGGAAGCACTGCTAGAGCTTATAGGTTCACAGAATACTCAATGACAAGATCTTTGGACACCTTGCTGTTGAGTTGGATCTGGCTCATAGCGACCCCTCCTTGGATTTCTAGGCGGTATCACTACAGAAGTAGATTGCCCCATCTTCCTTCCGAGGAGTGCCTGGTGGGTTTGAACCACCAGTCTTCTGGTTGGCAGTCAAATGCCTCAGGCACTAAGCCACCAGAGCTCCTTGATCCTTTGGAGGAGGGTCCAAGTCCATGGGGCCACTGGGCAGTGGGTTGGCTCTGCTGCCTGTCCCTCCCCTAGCCTGGGTCCCTTCTATTCTTCCCTGGCATGAGGCAAAGGCCTGGGAACCCAGAAGAAAGTAGACATAAATGGTGGCATCTTTCTCTGGGAGCAGGGGGTCTGACAACAGGGTGGGCGGGGGGGGGGTGCAGGCTAGGATTGTGGGTGGTGGGGCCGTAGGGCTGCAGAGAGGTGAGCTGATGGCCCTCACTTTGTTTTAGGGCCCAGCCTGGCAGAACCCAATGCCCGATACATTCCCATCTGACCTCCTTGTTGGAATCCCATGTCGAGAATCCTGGCCCTGCCATAGCACCCCTATGCAGAAAGGCTGTGGTCACCCTGCAGAGACAAGCCCCCTGCCCCACCCTTCAAACTCAGTTAAGGCCAGGCCTGGAGACTGAGCAGGTGCTGGGCCGCCACGAGCTGCCCCCACATGGTCCCTTCGCCTTCAGAAAGCCTGGAGCCTGTGCTCCGTACCAGCCTCTGAGACCTGCCAGCTCTCTGCTTTGAAGATTGGAGAGTGTGCAACCAAACCCACCTTCAAAGGCTCAGACGGCCTCTCACAGAGCACAGCACCCCCACCGCCTCCTCACCCGTCAACCTCAGCCCGCCCACCCCTCCACTCACTCCCCCCCAACCCCAGACACACACCCACAGCTTCTGTGAAGGCCCAGCCAAAACAGGGTCAGAACAAGAGATGAAAAAAGAGCAAGAGATGAAAAAAGAGAGGGGCTGGGCAGAGGAGGGCCTCTCGGAGCAGAGGGAGGGGAAGGGTAGGAAGGGAAGGTGATGGTGGGAAGAGAGGGAGGGGAAGGAAGAGAGAAGGACTGACAAGGGGAAGCGGGCAGGAGGAAAGGGGATAGGAACGGGGATGGGGGCTTTGAGTTGAAGGAGGGGAGGGTGGAGCGGAAAGTCCTGGGGCTTTGCTTCTGGGCAGATGCCCTTTAGCTGGTGGGCTTGACCCTAGGCTAAGGTGGAGCATCTGCCAGTCTCCCAGTGAAGGCCTGGGCTCTGCAGAGAGGAAGGAGCTGGGGCTGCCGTTCAGTGGCAGAGGCCTCGAGAGAGCAGTGCACACGGCACACATTGGGATCTGCTGTACCCCAGTCAGGCTGGGCTCGTCTCCTGGTGTCCCCCACTGACCCTTGGCAGTGGGCTGGCCGAGGTGGTCTGCAAGTGGAAAGGCAAGCCTGCTTCTTGAGAGGGGCTCTCAGGACATAGAAGTCAGAGGCAAGCAAGACCTGAGGGGGGTGCTGGGGTGCTGGGGTGATAGGGCATCTCTCTGGGTCACTTCTCAGAGCAGCCCAGCTTGGGGCCTGCTGGGCCCCAGGTTTCTATCTGCCCTCGCTTCCACGTTGCCCTCAGAGTATCAGTGGGGTCCGAGCAGAGAGTCTAGACCCACTGGGAGAGGGCACAGCCCAGGAGCAGGGGCTTAGGGGAGGAGTTCAGAGGCCCAGGGGGGTTGAGTTGGTGGCTGGGGACAGTGTGACAGTGTGTGTGATATGGAGGAGTGAGTGTGCAGGGCCAGGTGCGGTGAGACCACAGATTGGGGCTGAGGCAGGAGGCAGCCCCTGCTGGGGGTGAGAGACAGCAGCTAGAAAGAGGAGCTGGGCATTCCAGAACCTTCCAAGGGTCTGGGGGCACAGGCAGAGAGGTGGAGCCCTGGAGCCACGCTGAGGAGTGGTATACGTGGTAGCAAATACAGAGCATGACAGCTGGGTGTGAGGGGACATTGAACGTGTGTGTGTGCACGCGTGTGTGCGTGTGTGGCTGGTCTGTGGGGGGAGGAGCCTCTCCCACCTGGCCTGCCTGTGTGCTCCCGCCCACACGTGCAACCTGGCACCTACTTGATTGCCTTCTTCTCGCTGCGCCCACGTCCCGAATCTGGCGTGCCCACTGTCTCCAAGGAATTCTTGTAGCGTTTGCCCTGTGGAGACAGCACCAGGTCACTCCTGGGGCCAGGGCGCACCCTCCCCACTTCCCAGAAAGGTGGCCTTGGATGGAAGGGACATAGCTTGGAACCCACTGGGCAAAAAGATCCTGGGGCCCATGTATGAGGGTGCCACCACTGTGGGTACCAGCCCCATTGGTACCTGCTCCCTGCCTGGCAGCTCCTGGGCCCCATCAGGCTCAAGGACCTGCCCTGCCCCGCCCCCTTGACCTGCACCTCATCCTGGTCCCCAGGGATGGGCCCCTTCTGCCCGCCTGTCTCTGGGGCTCTGGCCCAGCTCCCAGAAACACAGCTCCCTCTGCCATGGACAGACGGCTCTCAGGCGCCTGGCCACGTCACACTGTCCACGTCACCACCCCCAGATGGTGGGGGTGGCATCCTGCAGGGCAAGGTTGGCAGTGGCCAGTGACGTGAGCAGTGGGGGTGGGGAGAGGGCAGCATGCCCAGATCCAGCCCAGGGCTGCGCCCATCGCCCATCGCTGGCTGAGGTTCTCTGGGTCCCCGGGGCCCTGGGGCTGTAAGGCAGGGCGGGGCCTGGGCTCTCTCCTTTCCAGGAAGACAATGTCAGGAAGAGAGGCTGCCCACCTGCCCTGAGGACAGGGTGCCCTGGGCTCCTCGGCAGCCCCTGGCACGAGGGGGGGCAGGAGCAAGGCAGGCGGGGCATGGGGCACGCCAGGCCCTGGGCTAGAGGAGAGGAGCAGGCTGCAGCAGTAACTGGGCCTGCTGCCGGGAAGGTGAGCACCGTTCACCTTCTTGGTTTGGGTTTCTAAATTTAGCTCACGTGGAGCCAGGCCCCATTAACATTCTTGGCCTCTACCAGGCGTCCTCATACGCACCCATGGGCCACGGGCCTGGACCAGACCCAGGGCCGATGTGGGCAGTGGGGGGTGGGGCTGCCCCTCTGACAGCCCATCCTCCCATTGGGCACTGGCCTGCCCCTGCCCAGCGAGTGGAGACAGACAGACACACACACACATATACACACACACAAACGTTTCCCCAACATCCCGTCATGTGCACCAACACCACAGCCACAACAGTCAATTATTCCGGCCTCCCTCAAGCAGAATAAAAGCTGCCACATTCCCCGATGCTCCTGGCTCCTGCCAGCTGCAGCCCCTTCCTGGCCGGGAGCTGCCCGGCTATGAAGCACGGCAGGGGAGCTTCCCCGAAGGGTGTGTGTGAGTGGGGGAGGGCCCCCTGGTGTCCTCAGTCTGAGGGACACCTGGGTTCTGGTCTCAGCTCTGCCAGCATTCCATGTGCCCCGGAGCAAGTCCCTTCACCCCTCTGGCCTCTCTTCCCTTCTTTCTAGAACTGCAAGGTGTCACGTGATAAGCCAAGGAGTTCCTCGTCCTCCACCTCCATGGCTCTCATCAAAAGACACTAGTATTTCTCTATTTACCTCTTCCAGCCCCCAGCCCTGGATAAGAGCCCCACAGCGGCAGGCCCTGCACGGTTACTCTGGGACCTCCTGTGGAACCTGGGACCAGGCAATTCTCAGCAGTCATCCCCTGGAAGAAGATCTGAGCTCAGGTGCTGCCTCTGAGCCAGGCCTTTAGGAGTTCAAATACAAGGTGACTGGGTCCTAGCTCTCACTCTTACCCCTCCCATCATCACTCAAGTTCAATTTCCCAAATTTCCAGTTCCCATTGGAATAGGAGCCCCTCTGTGGTGGCTGAAGCCCCTCCATGGTGGTCAGCAGCCCTGTCTTGGGCAAGACCCTGAGGCAGGAGCCCAGCTTCACTCCTCTCTGGTACCCCAGGCCCTGCTGAGGGCAACGCCCTACTCCCCTCCCTCACCCCTTCACCTCTTTCTTTGTAGTCTTGGCAAGAGAGTTCTCCTCGGTCAGCACCCTCTTCGAAGGTCAGTAACTGCCCCTTCCCCAAGGCCAGGCAGGTCTGGGGTCGACCACCAGGGCCCACCCAGGGCATTCTGGGAACTTCTGCCTACCGCCCTTCCTTCCAAAGCTCAGAGAACCTTTTCCCTTTAGACCACAGTTATCAATGTGCAGCGGGAGCTAGGGCACTATGGGGGACAGGACCCAGGCAAGACCTGATTTTGGGGGCAGGGGAAAGTGAACAGGGCAACAGTAGGAACCCAGGCTGGGTCCGGGGGACATCAGGTGACTCTAGAAGACCTAACACCCCCAGCCTGCCTGTCAGGGACGGGGTTGGTCAGGCTGATCCAGAAAAAGCCAGCTAGAGATTAAGGAAGTTATTAATGTTTGGAAATAGGATCTGGGCTGTCAGGGTATCACGTCACTGATGCTGAGGGGACAGGCAGGCAAGGAGAGGCAGCAACCTGAGGGGGGGCATTGGAAAGCCCTCCGGTGGAACAAGCAGACAGCCTGGATATAAAGCTCCCCAACTCTGGAGACCTGCTGGTCACAGGGGTGGGGGCTGGGCAAAGTAGCATTCCTTCCGCAGCCCAGGGGAGCAAATCAAGGGGTCCTCGGGAAGGACCCTGACTAGCGGGGCCTGGTTCTGCCCCTCTCAGCTGCCCTCTCAGGGCACCTCCTGTGCGGACAGTGCCACCTGCTGTAGCTCTCATCTTTGAGCTCCCATCCCCAGGTCCTACTCCTGACTAGAGATGAGGGGAGGGGCAGTTTTCCTCCAGTCCCTCTTCTGCCTGGTCCTGGAAGGCACCTCTCACCACACACACACACACACACACACACACACACACTGCAGCACACACGCAGGGGAGGCCAGGATGGGGTGGACCTCAGCATCAGCTTATGAGGGGATCTGATTCTACGATCCACAACCCCACACCGCAGGGTGAGCGAACACACGCACACACACACACACTGCACCAGTACCCTCAAAGTCAATGCACTCAGTACAAAGACTTCACGCGTGCACGCGCGAACACACACACACACACACACACACACACGCAGGGTACCAGCAGTGTCTGCTCAGGCAACCTTCTCCCCGGACCCTCAAATACAGACAGACAACCTTAACGGGCCTGCAACAAGCTTCAAAGGGCCGCAGTGCGCGCTCTGCCACGCCCACTGCCTCTGAGGACTGATCACACACTAAGCACGTGGCCAAGCCCCTCCACCCCCCTCCCCTGAAATTCTGAGACAGTCGCAGACACAGGGGATCTAGGAGCAAGGCAGGGCCACCAGCCTGGCTGCACACCTGCGGGAGAGCGGCTGGTCACCCGCACTGGGCACACACGCGCGGACAGAGCTGGCCTTCTCCAAGGCCAGTCCCCGGGGTTAGGAGCACCTCCCAGTACAGGGAGTCCCACTCCGGATTCCTGACTCTGCCCTTCCTGAAGGAGGCAGGTAGGACGTGGTCCTCTTGGGTCCGCCAACAGACCCCAGGGCCCTCTACCAGGGGCATGTGCCCCTTCTCATCCCCTCTAGGAGAGAGGGCATGAAGCCTCGGTCACAGCCCTCCCCCCTGGTCCTTAGGGCCCGCCCCCCACCATTCTCTACCGGAGGGGTAGTAAGTGCCCTCCAGGGTCCGTCTCCAGTTAGCCTGGAGGGGTGAGGTCTGCGCCTCACCCCTCGCACTCCCCCCCCCGCCGCCACCTCCTGCAGACCCCAAACTCCCCAGGGCACGTCTGCGCTGGGGGAATGAGGAGCAGGAAGGCAGGCTTGCGGCGTCCTTGGGGAGCTCAGCTCTGCACCCCCTCCAGGCCGCCCTCGGGTGATGAATGTCCCTCCTGACGGTCTCGTTACTTATTGATGCCCTAATCCAGCTCGTTAATTCCCTGGCTCTCGTTAAAAATGAAAAGAAGCCGTTTGTGCTTGTACAAACCCGAGACCCAGGATGGATGTGCGGGCGGCGGGGGCAGGGCGGGCGGTGGCGCCTCCTCATTGGCCAGAGACGCTGCTCGGCCATGCCCAACCCCCAGCGGCAGGGAGGGGCGGGGATGGGGCGCTGGCGCCGAGGCTGGAGGCCCCATCCTCAGCCTGCGCGTGGGTGCCTGTGGGTCTTTTTGTGCGAGGTGGCGCAGGTGTGTAGTTGCGCGCATGCGAACACCTGTGAGACTTGTGTCTGTGCACAATGTGTCCCGATATAAGTGGCTCCCGGTGGACACGCGGACACAGGGGACCAACCCTCGGGCAAACGCAGGGTGTAGTGTGGTGTGAATCCCTTAGCAAGTATGCCTGACTTTGTGGGTCCACCTGTGTGTGCGCTAAGGAGCATTCACAAGACTGTGGGGGTTGGGGGGCGGGATGCAGGGCCAAGTCTTGCCCCCAGGGGCCCCAGGGAATCTCACCAGTTTGCGCTGACACCAGTGACAGAGGCCACAGAGGACGACAGTGACGCTAAGGCTGACGGTGACGATGGCAGAGACCAGCAGGACGTCGCGGGTGGGCGCCCCTGGGGAGGACAGGCACAGGTCAGACCCTCCTTGGCCAGAGCCAGCCACCCTCCCTCAGCCCAGAGCCACCCAGAATAGCCATCTTTCCTCTCTCTCTGGCCCCCAACACTGGGATCGGCCAGTACACCAGGGTAGAGAGCAGAGCAGGACCAGAAGCTGGGGTCCCTGGCTCCCCCAGCTCTGCCTTGCGGGTAACCTTGAGAAGTCCCTTCTCTTTGGGGGAAGTGCAGCTGGCTACATCTGTTTCTCTCAGTTCCTGCCTGCACACAGGCCCTGTGTGAATCCATGGGATGGGTGCCAACCCTCCAACTTGACACTCTAAAAATGAGTGGTCAGATATGCCCTTCAGCCCCTCAAAGGAGCCATCACTTCTTGGCCCCCTTAACTAACTTTCCTTGGCCCGAAAGCCCACCCGCTGGCCTCAGCAAGCCTGGCCCTCCCATCCCATAGCCTTGTCGGGTACTCCCAGTTGGCTCCAGCCCTGCGTGTACCACTTGCAGTGTCCTTGTGTGCCCTCAGATACCACCCGGCGACTGCCAGTCCACAGGCTTCCAGAGGGGAAACCTCAATGCCCCTCACAAGATGAGCCCCACCCTGGAAGGAAAGCCCCAGCTTTCCGTCCAATTCCTGCCCCTTCCTGGCTGTGTGGCTTTGGAGTAGCCACATAACCACTCAGTTTTCTCTCCTGTAAAATGGGGATTCACCTCCTCCCCTGCCTTCCTCACAGGTGGTTGAAAACACTAGCTCAAACCGAAGATAAAGGCAGCCTAAGAATTACCACGTGGGGGAGTTAGCAGAGCCAGCAACACACAGGTTATACAAGCTTTGTAAACATGTGTGCACTGGGATGTGGTCTAAAGTCAAGGAGATGCTGTTTATTTACAGATAAGCCTGTGTGGGCTTTTTGGTTCCGGTGGTAGCAGTAATTAAGAATTGACGATAGCTGTCTGGTTCTGGTTCCTGTGGTTTCAGCTCCTGGCACTCTTCCTCGCTAGCTTTGCCAGGGGGCCTCATCTCTGACGGCCTTCTTGGCTAGCTCCCACCACTGCACTGGGGACCCAGGAAGCCGGATCCCTCTCCGATCTCCCTAGAATCCTGCTTGAGACCCACCTCTCCTCTCCTGACTTCCTGAGCCTCTCAGCTATGGCGGAAGGCTGCCCTCACTGAGGCCTCACTTATGCGTCTTGGCCTTCCCTTACCAGGTCCATAGCCTCAGCCCCCAGGAAGCCCCTGCACCTAGTTCACTGTCAACCTCAGGGCCCATAGCACCCAAGAGCTCCAACCTGGACCATATGCCAACAATCCCCCCCCCACACACACACACACACTCCCACCCAGCCAACCACCATCACCCCAGGTTGAAAAGCACAGCTCTGCAAGGCTCAAGGGACATTTGCCAGAGCTCTTTGCTACATCGAGGATTTGATCCTTAATGTGCTGGTGTCTCTTGGGAGTGGCGGCAGAACCCAGTGACCTGGTGACCGGTGCTATAATACTGCAGGCACTCCAGCAGGGCCCCAAGGCACAGGCCTGGGGCAAAGAGATGGGCAAACAGGCCTTCCTGGCTTGGCACCTGCACTTTTCCCCAAAGATAGCCAAAGGAAGCTGCCCTGGCCCCCAGGGAGGCCCTAGGAGGGCTGTGAGGACTGGAGAAGCAGGCACCCCACACCTTCCTTTGTTAAAATCATTTTGAAAATGAAGCAAACTCTATTCTGTATTGAGCCTTCTTTAACCTCTGCCAAGAATCTACTATAAGGCATGCCTTGCCTGTTAAGGAACTGTCACTCAAATAGGGAAGACAGGCATGCATTCAGGTAATTATCTCCTAGCATGCCAGGGGCCTGGAACTCTTGAACGGCAGGACCCCCGGGGGTCTGGGGCTCCAGACTCCAAAAGACCCAAGCGTGAGGTCAGGCCTTGCCCCTTCACTGCTGTGTGCCCTTGGACAAATGTCTTAACAACTCAGTGCCTTCATTTTCTCCTTTATAAAGTGAACATAATAATACCTGCCTCATGGGGTTGTTGTTAGCACTCAATAAATGGGCACTATGATTATGGTGGTCAGTGCTGGTTTAATCACAGGTGTAAACAAAGGGCTGTGAGAACACAAAAGTGATTGGGGCTGGGGAAGCAATCTGGAAAGGCTCCTTGGAGGAGGTGGTGTTCCCGGAGCGGTGTGTTTAGTGTTACAGGCCATGGGAGCCATGGAAGGTATTTGAGCAGAGTAGGGATAGGATCAGAGGCTTGCTAACAAGCTCATGAACTGGCAGCTGCGACAGGAGCCAGTTGGAGGTCACTGCCAGGCTCCAGCTGGGCTCCCCTGCGATGGTGCCCTCTTCAGACACACATCTCACCCTCCACCCTCCACATACCTCTTGGCCATGGCGAAATTCTGCAAGGGGCCACCTCCCTGGAGTTACACCCCCTTTCTCTTTTGCCTGACAAGGTGCCTATCTTCTAAACCCACTCAACTCTTGCTGTAGCTGGAGAGCCCTCAGAGAGAAAAGATTGTTCCCCAAGCCTGCTGAGCCCAAAGCCAGTGGGCACACTGAATTCTCCCTAGCGAGGAAACACCTAGCAGTCTGTGGGCATGGCTAAACGGGTGCTGGCTTGGAGTCAAGAAGAACTAGGCTGAGACCCTGTGGCCACCACTAACTAGCTGTGTGGCCGTGGACAAGGAACACAACCTCTCGGGACCTCAGTGTCTTCTTCAGGGGAAGGGCTGACACGCAGTGAAAGCTTAATCCTTACAACAGCCCTCTGAGGGAGGCGTGATGATTGTCCTCCATTTTACAGGTGGGGAAACTGAGGCACAGAGAGGTCGAATGCCTTGTCCAAGGGCATTCAGCCAGTCAGTCGTGGAGCCAGGGTTCAAACCCAGGCAGTCTGGCTCAGAGTCCACACTCTGCCATGACACCAGACCCAGGACAGAGGTGGGCAGTTGGTAGCTTTCAAAGTGTGCTCTTTGGAACCCTTGGGGTTCCCAGGAATCTCTTGGGGGCTGCAGAGGTGGGTGCTGACCAGCTGAGGGTATGGTTTTCCCCAAGCCCTCTTCAGTTAGAGCACTCTCACTTCTCTCTGTTTCACATCTTGGGCATCTGCAGAAAATTCCATTTAAAGAAAAGGATGTGTTGGTAAGAAAAATGTGAAGCCTCTGTAGACTTGGTGACCCTAGAGCTCTCTGTAGCATGAGTGGATACTATTATCTTCCAGACCCTCAAGCCTCTCAGCGTCCCTCAGCAGCCCTTGGGGCCAGGGTGAAACAAATGGGAACTGCCTGTAGTCCTATGAGGCCTGTGTTATTGTTAGCCCGTTTACAGGTGGGGAAACAGTTTCCTACTGCAGATTGCAGTGATGCTCTGAATCAAAGTGACATGGTGTGCTCGGCCAGCATGCCCTCAAGTGATGTTGCAACCAACGGGCACGAGCATGTGCTCATCTGCCAGCCAGAGAGAAGCCAATCCCAGATTATGGGATCGTGTGTCTCTGGCTGGAAGGGAGCTCGGGAGTCATGGAGTCAACCCCACTGATACACAAACCCCGTTGGGCAGCCCTGGTGTGACAAGAAGCTCCTTCTACAGAAGGCTGCCCCCTGGAGAGGCATTGTCAGGGAGGGCTGCCCAGTGGTCCTAAGCCTGCCTTCCGGAACTGCCAGCAACAAGCCGGCTCCCTCGGCCACATGACAGGCCTCCAAATCCTTGCCGCCAGCTCTCATGTCCCCTTCAAGTCTTCTCCAGGCAAAGCCGCCCCAGCCCTTCCAGCACTTCCTCAGATGACATACATGGTTTCAAGTCCCCTTATCGTCAGCATATTAACATTTGGGGAAAGAAAATATCGCAGCTGGAGTCAGCCTTCTGACAGGGTTGAGTTCTGCGACCTCTCCTTGGGCAGAGCAGAGACAAGGGCCGACAGCTGACCCCAGGGGACCTGGGAGGCAGGTGGCCTGGGAGCTGGGCCGAGAGTGAGGTGTGAGCTCCAGCAACTCAGTGGCCCTCTGCCCAGACCTGCAGCAGGCATGTAGCTCCTTAAAGCACAGGATTAAAAGTGATGCAATGAGCCCTGTGTGCTGTGCTGGGGTCTGTGGGGAGACCCTGTGCTTCTGAGCACACCACTCACCCCCAGGAGACCTCAGGGGAAAGCCTGTATGTCCAAGGAAGTGGCCTTCCAAACAAGATGCCTTTGCAGTCTTCCTGTCTACAATGCTCATCTCTTATTCGCCCCAGGACAGAGCCTGGCATCTATTACGTGTTCAATAAATGCTTGTCAGGAGAATGAGGAAGAAGGTGAGGACGTTTGGAATAACGATAATCCTATTGTTAGCAGTCTCCTGTTGGCTCCCGACTACGGCAGCCTTGTGCACGAGGTAATGAAACACTGCTCAGTCCTGTGCCATTCCCATGGTCACCGGCGGGTCCGACCCCTGTGACCCACAGGGTTTTCAATGGCTGACCTTCAGAAGCAGGTCACCAGGCCTCTCTTCCTACTCTGCCTTCGTCTGGAAACTCTCCTGAAATCTGTTCCGAATCACAGCCACACACAAGCCCCCGCTGACAGATGGGTGGTAGCTGTGTGTGAGGTGCCCCTGGCTGGGAATCAAACCTGGATCTCCCATACAGAAGGCGAGAACTCTACCACTGAACCACCAATGTCTCAAGGGCAATCATACAGGCTACTGTTTATTAAGCACCTACTGTGTACCAGGCTTCAGGGGCTGTATGTATCTCCTTCACTCCCTCTGATATCTTCTGTGACAAGCTCTGTGCCTGACACATAGGAGGCACTCAGTAAATGTTTGTTGAAAGTTACATATTTGCGTGTGTTAGCTTATTTGTCCCCCAAAACAAGATGGAAGAAAAGAAATGAGAGAGGCTATGGTGACAGAATTTGGGAGTATTTTTCTTTTACACACTTACACACACACACACACACACACACAAACACCAGGACCCCTTTCTTTCTCCCCTCATGTCTATCTTTGTCTGACAACCTCCTGGTTTTTCCAGATCCAGTTCAAAAGCACCTCCTCCAT